GCCAAGGAGTCCACGAGCTGAATTTCAGGCTCCCATCTCGCCACCAGCAGGGGTTAGCTAATCCAGCCTGTTTTGTTCTTCCTGTCCACACCACAAAGACAGCGGGCATGTCCTTCCTCGCTGAATGAAGCTGGGTCTGGATGACACATCAGAGAGCGGTGACATGCTGTCTGCATTGTTTGCTGAGAGCCTTTGAAATGCTGTTTTCACTTAAGCCAAAGCATTGCCTTTGAGGCCGTAGTTGTTTCATTTCCATTTTGCCAGGGCTGGGCAAGAAGCCCGAGTGACAGAACAAGCCCCTTTCCTCCTGGTCCCCATGGACCACGGTAGCGTGAGAGAAGGATTGAAACCCCAAGTGCTTCCTAGTTACTCTCAGAAACGAGACTTGGAAATCCAGCTTACGTGACTCTCATGCTCTCTGCAGGAGTAGTTAAGGTGACACTGGGCATAGGGACTCAGCAACAGATGCACCACTCGGCTGTGGAACCAAAGAAGCCAAGCAAGGCCGACTCTCTAGCTGTGTGCTTCCTCCCTCCCTTTCTCCCTCCTTCCCTTTTTCCCTCCCTCCCTCCCTCCTTCCTTCCCTCCTTCCCTCCTTCCTTCCTTTTTTCCTTCCTTCCTTCCTTGGTCCCCTCCTCCTCTCTCTTCCCTCCCTCTCCTCCTTTGTTTCCTGGGGACTGAACCCAGGACCTTTGCACTGAGCTGCACCCCTAACCTTTTAATTTTGAGATAGAGCCTCACCAAATTGTGCAGGCTAAGCTCAAACTCACAGTCATCCAGGGTCAGTTTTCTGAGTAGCTGGAGTTATAGGTCTGTAACCCTATAACCAGCTAAGCTACTTGATTTTTTTTTTTTTTTTGTACTGGCAATTGAACTCAGGACCATGAACTTTCCAGGCAGTCGCTTGTACTGCTGAGCTATATCCCTGGACCTGCTACTTGATTTTTATTTATTTATTTACTTACTGTTTTGCTACTTGATTTTTAAGCCTCAGCTTTTTCATCAGTAAAATGAGAAAAATTTAAAATTTTTCTTTGTGGTTTGTTTTGTAAGGATCAAATTAAACAATAGATGGGGAAATACTTCTCATACTTCATGCAAAAGCAAAAGGTTGTTGCTAACTCTGGCTCACTGAATACAGATTTTCAATTGAATGAGTTTCCTCCAGGCCTTGAACAACTTCACATTGGCTCATCTAGTTCTCTGCCTGGTATGTTCTCCCCTCCCTGACTGGTTTTGAACCAGCTTTTCTGGATCATCTATTACATTCTCTTGGTCTTCATGGAGCAGATCCTGCTCAGCCTTGAATCTCCTAGTACTTTTTCTCTGATAGCTCTAACTTGGTGTGGTAGTTCTGGGCCCCGCAGCAACCACTGCATTCACAGGCATTACATTGTGTCAGATGCCAGGGCCCAAAGAAAGCTGGCAGGTGTAGCTCAGTCTCGGTGCTGGATATGAATCATCATGAGTCTGCAAACCCCTTGGAAGCAAAGATGGAAATTTATAACCCAACTATTGGGTCATCCATTGATTTGAACCTGTGCTCGATCTGCTTGTGCACTAAGCCGAGACAGTGTCTCCTTACCTTTTCCATCCAGGTCCTTCACTGGGTTACCCCTAGTCCCAGCCCTGCTTCTGCTTGTGCCAGGTGTGCAGGGGAATTCAGAGACAAATAGAAATGCGTCTGTTGCCTTCAAGACATTTGCCATCTATTTGGAGGCATTCAGCAAGAATACAAACATAAATAAAAAGGAATTTTTACGTGCTTATTTGTGCAACAAGTACTTACTGATCTGTGTTCCAGGCTCCTTGCTAGACACTGAAGATGCAGGCTGGATCCAACTCACAGTCACTGCTCTGGCAAAGCTCACAGCCCTCTGGAGGAGATGGACATGGCCCTGGACAGATCCAGTCAAGGGTATGTGGGCCATGGTAGGATGTGCAAGGCTAAGGGAGAATGCTCAACAGACAGTGCAGAACTAGGAGGTCAGGAAGGCTTCTCAGAGGAGGCAGCACTTGGCTGAGATGTGTGAGGTGAGAAGAACTGGCTAGAAAAGAGGAGGTAGAGCTCGCTCCCGGCAGAAGAAACACAGACAGTAAGGCACAAGAATAAGGTGAGCTGTAAAAATAACATGACATTGCTAGAGCTCAGAAAAGGATGAGCAGTGGGGCTGGAAACGTTGATGGATCAGCCAACTAAAACCTAGGAATTACCCTGAAAGACAAGGTTTGCTGTTATGTCCACATTACAGAGGGAAAATGAGGATCAGACAGGTTGGGTACTTGTCCAAGTCACAGAACTAGCAAGGGTTAGAACTGAAATTTCTTGACTCCTCACCCTTGAAGAGATGAGGTGGTCTGCTGACAAAAAGTATGGGCTAGACTTTCTTTCTTTCTTTTCCTTTTGTTGGTATGGGGATGCAAACTCAGGGCACTGTGCTTGCCAGGAAAGCACTCTGCTGTTGAGCTATATCCCCAGCCCTTAGGCTAGACTTTCTACAACTGGTGATCTGAGTAACATTGCAAAGTTAATTAACTACTCTGTGCTTACGAGTCCTCATTTAGAAAGGGGGGGTACTACTAGTATTACTAGTATTCTACTCTATGGGGTTTGGTCTGCAGAGGATTCAATGAGTTAATACATATAATGCATTTTGTAGACAGTCTAGAACATAATAAAGACCCAATACACATTAGCTACTATTATTAGACTGGATTGAGAGGAGAAAGATTTTTAAAAATCACATCTCAGTTTAGAGTCCACTACAATCATGGGAGGCTTCAGCACTGGGAGTGAGGGAGAGGGTAAGTAGGCAGGTAAAACGCTATATTCCCTTTCAGGATGTCAATCTGGGGTCCAAGCCTTTATCACCTCAAGAGCTTAGTTTCTGTGTCCCTTTAAGCTGCTCACAGATGAGGGGGACTCGCGCTGCCTCGAGAAAGGTTGGTTGCTCCTGAGAACAATATAGATTTCTTTGTGAGCTTCAGGAAGCCACATCCCAGAGCACTGCAGTATTGACTCAACCTGCTGGGACGTGTGGTTGCCAGGGGCACTGCAATCAGTTCTGTGGCCCAGTCCTTCTCCCTGAGCTCTCAAAGACTGTTTCCAACCAAGTGGTTTAGGGCCTGTCACTTCCAGGACTGTATGTTTTCCTTCCCGGGAGGCAGGAGCCAGATGTCAAGGTCTGGTCAGAGGCAAGGTGGCTGGAGGGGCCAGCTAGGAGCTCCTGGAATGGATGAGAAAGAGACAGCTTGGTACTGCATGCCCTGGACCTTTCATGACCCAAACAGCCCCAGCATCAGTGAGCTTTGTTGGGTACTGTGGAGGAGAGTAACCTGAATGCATTCTCTGGTCCTGCCTTATTTGGTCTGTGAATCCCCTAGACTAACCCACTGCTTTGTCTGACTTCTGTCTGTTCATGTGCTAGGAACTGTGGCAGGAGGAGTTCAGAGAAGACAGGAGGGCCCATGTGGTTTTCGACAGTCAGGGGAGGCTTTTTTGGGTTGAGGTGGTATCTGGGTATGTGGTAAAAGGGTGGGTGAAGGTTGGATATATAGAGAGGGACAGGTGCCATGGTGGAGATGACATGGAATTGAACTCTGAGTATTCAGTTGGAAGATTATCCACCTAGCTTCCTCACTGGAAAGTAGCAGTGGGTCAGAGCAGCAGCTCACAGGGTCATTACATAAATGAGTGACATGAAGATTTCAGTTCTAGTTTTGATGCCATCATTATACTGCATTATGACCTTGATAATATATACACACACCTCTAGAACTGGGGGGTGTGTGGTCAATGCTACTCAAACCACAAGACCTGAGAGTAGGGATAGAAGCAATTTTCAGAGGAAAATTGGCATGCTGCATTAGCTATTCATTGCTGGGACATAATACCCCTCATGGTTTCTGAGGATTCAGTCCATAGTTGGTTGGCTCCAGGGCAGAAACATCATATGAGAAGGCTATGGTGGAACAAAGATGCTTAGTACATGGGGTCTGGGAAGCAGAGTAGCAGAACAGTGCTGAATAGGAGAATCTAAGGACCATATATAGAATCCAAGGCCATGCCTGATGATGTACCCAGAGACACCTACAAGTGTGCTTTACTAATCTCTGGGGTGTTTGTTAATGTAATCAAGTTGACATATCATGATTATCAGTCACAGATGCCATTACTGGAGGCAGGAGAATGGATGATGGGAAGGTGTTCTGGTTACTTTTCTCTCATTACTGACACAAAATACATGAACTCCAAAGTTAAAGGGGGAAAGGTTTATTTAACTCACAGTTTGTAGAGGTTTCAGTCCACAATCAGCTAGCTCCAAATCAGAGTAGTGTGGCACAGGGCAAGAGTTCATGGCGGTGAAAGACAACAAAAGCAACAAGAGCAAAGGGGGAGAGGTAAGGCTCTTTCCTCCCTTATTTGTATGTAGGCTACCTGCCCTAAGTCAGGTGTAGCATGCATGCCCACAATCTCAGCACTAGACAATGAACCAATCACAAACTCTTTAGATTCAGCCACTTCTGAAAAACCTGCCCCTCATGACCACACTCACACACACACACACACACACACACACACACACACTCATTCAGAGACAGAAAGTTGTTCAGTGGTTCATTGCTCCCATTACTCTTTACAACCCCTTCACAAAAGCCAAGTTGCTCACTACAGTAGCCAAGGGGTAGTACATGAGGTAAGTCTGAGTAAAAACCAGGAGTCAAATTTCTCAGTTCATGGTTGGTCTTCTTCACACTGGCCAGGGTGAGATTCTCGAAGTGCCTCAGAAGCCTGCAGTGTAATTCCTCATGGCCAGATAATATTTTCAAGGGGAGGAAATGGAAGGCTTATTGGCTGACTCATGTATTCATTCATTGTCAAGAGTTCACAAACATCTTTTCTGATTGGCTGAGAAAATGTATGAGTCAGGATTGCCTGCATTATGCTGACATAACAAACATCTCCCAAAGTTCTATAACATCAGTCAACAGGGTTTATTTCTTGTTCATGCTGTGTGACCATCTTGGGTTGGTTGGGGATGTGTTGTTCATCCTTCCTATGGGATCAAGTTCATAGAGCAGCAGCACTCTAGACTAGCTCATTCCTTGTGGCAGGGAGAGAGCTTGTAAGGCACATGCTGGGTTTTAGTGTTAGAGAGTGAGTGAGTGAGGAGGGTTAAGTCTGGAAAAGTAGGTAGGGATGAGCACTCCTCAAAGGTCCCTGTGTGGAAGGCGTGGTAATCAGGGTGATGCTACTGGGAAATTGGTGGCACCTTTAAGAGTTGGAGCTTTAATGGAATGTCCTTAGGTCATTGGGGGTTGTGTCCCTGGAGGGGATTGTTGGACCCCAGGCTCTCACTCTTTCGTTCTCTTCCTGGCTCCTAAGGTGAGTAGTTTTCTGTATCACCTGTTCCCACCACAATATGTTGCCCTCACCAGGGGCCCAAACCAATAGACTACTTGCCAGAATGAACCTCTCCTTATGAGATACTTGCCTCAGGTATTCTGTTATAGTCAGGCAAATCTGATTCATTCAGGGCTTGATGGCAAAGCCCTTGGATACCATGGTAAGGAGTTTATGGAAGGAATTTGACTTTGTCTTTTGGTCAGACCTTCCTCAGAATTCAACTCACCCCTGGAGTTGAACTTTCCTTCTTGGCACTCAGGATCAGAGGAGCACTTCTCAGGACAGATCCACGTTCTTGAGGACTCCTGGCCAGCAGCTGCATACATCAGATCCTGCCTTAATGTTTCCAGGTTGGACCTGGAAAGTCTGCATCATCAAAAAGAAGACACTTTTCTGGAGCAGCAGTGCCTACTAGAAACAATGGCTACAATGTGCTGGGGACCTCAGTGGAAGACCGTGTAAACTGCTCTGGTGAATGGACGCTTTTCCAGAAGTAGAGGCTGCATGGAGCCCTGTGCCTAGGGATAAACCTGTGGTCAGCTGTCACAGCCTCACAGGGAGCCTCCCAGCCACCCATTGCAGGTGGCCCAGGTAAAGTGGCCCCTTCTGGCTCTTCTGGGCTGGCTGTCCTCACCCACCCTGCAAAAGCTTCCTGTCTATACTGTAGTCCAAAGACCCTGCTTGAGAACCCATTCTCCTTTAGCCCCTCTTATAAGTTTTGCCCCCCAGTAGGTGTGGAAGTCCTAACCTCCAGCACTAGTGAATGTAACCTTATTTGGAAATGGGATGATCAAGTTCACTTGATCCACGCAAGATGAGATTAGAGCAATCCCTAATCTGACTGGGTCCTAATAAAAAGAAGGAAATTTGGAAATAGAGACAGACATGCTCTTAGAGAGAATGCGATGAGAGCGTGAAGGCACAGTTGGGGTGAGGGCTGGGGGGCATTGAAGATGGCTAACAAGCCCCTGGAAGCCAGGAGAGAGGCTAGAACAGATTTCCTCTCCTAGCCTGGGAAAGAACCAGCCAGGTGTCCTCTGATCTCGGACACCCGACCTCTAGAACTAGGAGATAATGCGCTTCTGTTGCTTAAACCACTCAGTCTGTGGCCCTTTATTACAACAGGAAGCGAGGTACCCAGAGAAGGCAACTTCTGCCCCACTCTGGTCCGCCTGCCAATGCTCTCCAGTGCCACTGGAGCCCGACCTATGGACCTGAGGAATGAACAAAGGTATTTTGTCGTTTAAAGTGACTGAGAAGACTCACACACAGTGCAAAGACAGGCTGTGAGGGCTATGGAGGAACTTGGAAGGGCTGTGCAAAGACAGGCTGTGAGGGCTAACA